AAAAAAAAAAAAAAAAGAAAAAAAAAAAAAAAAAAAAGAGGAACAAGTAAGACAGTCTTGGGAGGCTGGTGCAGACAATGAATAAAATATGAATTTTACTCTAAAAGCAAGAAAGAGGAAGCCAAAGAGTGTTATATTACAAAGAATCCGGCAATGCCTACATGCGAATGTGTTTAGGAACATAACACATACTGAAGGGTACCTAATACCATCACGTTAGAAACTGATTTATGTTAGAGCAGATTTTCTAATTTTAGGGAGATATTTATTAAAGAGGAGGAAAAGCAAACATCTTATATTCCTTCCTCCTGTGCAAGAGAAGTTTAGGATTTCCTTCCCTAGAGTGCTAAAGAGAAGATCAGGGGACCCGCAGCGACCTCTCCGTCCCGCCTGCCAGAGGTCCCAGCTTGCGGACAGTGCATTTTCCCGCGTCTCTTCCTCGTCTTGTTATGCTTGCATATTTCAAAACCTAAGACCAGACACTGCATAGGGCAGCATCTGTCTGTGCAGGTGTCTGCACGTGCCTGCCTGCTTGCTGTGACCTGCTCCAGGCACCCGTGTGGCTCCACGTTTCCTCTGCTGTCCCTCAGCGAGGGTGCTTACCTGCGTGGCGAAGGCCCTGCTCAGAGGGAAGGTGCGGGTCAAGGGAAACCCCACGTGGACACAGGAGGGCTCAGTGTGTGCTCACCCATGAGTCTGGTCTTCAACTTCTTCTCTGAGCAGCTCAGAAATGTGCTGCAGTGCCTGGTGCCGGTGTCCCTGCGGGATGTCTGTGGGTGGAGAGAGAAGCCAGAGGGGAACGAACAGAAGGAAAACCTATTAGGAACCATCTGCAGCAACGACCAGAGTTTGGGGGAAATGCCCGTTTTTCTGGTTCGTGGAACCATCCCCCGTTCTCACGCTCTTCGCAGCCAGTCCCTCCTTCCTACATCAGTGTCCCACAGAGATGAGCCTCAGAGAGTCTGTAACTCGGGTGTGAGGAAGCAGAGAAAGACTTACAAGCAGCCCACCCTGGGACTGGGAAATGCCACATTGTGGATGCCACAGGTTTTTTCTTTTCTACGTACCCGCCCTTTCCTCTATCACTAGTAATTTGTGATTTCAAAATACATGGAGACCATAATAAAATAGCCAACGAGAAATTAGGCATGGGTGGCCCAGCCATTTTTCTATGGCTCTGACAAATTCAGAGTATGACTTCAGGTTTATAGTAAAGAAACGGCCAGAAAAAAAAAAAAAA